GGTGGAAACATTAGGACGTGTTTCCTTAAGACACTTGCTGTCCATGTTCACCCAGGAATAAAATAGGTACCTGGGTGTTAGTTGACTGGTGTGAGTCGCATCCTGGAGACAAAACTGACCTAATTTGCCCGAAAAACTCTGCATAACAAGCGGCTTTCTGTATAGCAGTCTGTCACTGATGTCAGCTAGGCCTGTATATCTTGTACATGTACTTATAGAAGATTATAATAATAATAATTATTATTATTATTACTGCACACGGCCGCTGGTGACACTACAAACCCTCTCTCTATAGTGAGCAACGCCGTGCACATGACAAAATTAAACAACTCAATACACATTCTCTCGTTATTTTGAATTATATTGTGGCAACTGTAAGGTTTGCATTTGCATTACTTTTATCTTGAGGTCAGAGAAATACTCAGCAACTATAGTAAACGGAGGGAACATGTGTATGACGGATTGTACTGAACAGTGATGAGACAGTGTGTATCCAGGGTCACTCCAGCCATCTTTACCTGTTTTACATACATGGTACCTCACTGTTTTACATGGTACCTCACTGTTTTACATGGTACCTCACTGTTTTACATACATGGTACCTCACTGTTTTACATACATGGTACCTCACTGTTTTACATACATGGTACCTCACTGTTTTACATACATGGTACCTCACTGTTTTACATACATGGTACCTCACTGTTTTACATACATGGTACCTCACTGTTTTACATACATGGTACCTCACTGTTTTACATACATGGTACCTCACTGTTTTACATACATGGTACCTCACTGTTTTACATACATGGTATCTCACTGTTTTACATACATGGTACCTCACTGTTTTACATACATGGTATCTCTCACTGTTTTACATACAAAGTACCTCTCATTTACGGGAGAACTGTAAACACTCAAGGGTCATACACCGTCTGGGGAGAAAGTTGATCGAAGGAAGTGAGGAGGAGAGTGGAGCTCATTTTTTATTTTTTTTTTGGGGGGGATATATTCTTTAAACATGTGATATGTTTGACGAGTCTTGCTACTCTAGCAGCCAGGTCTGGAGCCAAGCTTTTCTGGTACCTTATTGGTTAATTAGGCCCGAGGCCAACACATCCTTCACAGCCTGGCACTTGGCGGAGGTGGTGATCCACTTTCCTCTTGAAAACCTCTTCACTTGGTCCCACATTATTTCTGGTATCTGCTGGTATTAGATATCAATGTTCTCTTATGGTGCCCATGGCGCCCCCTGCTTTCCACTTGATTTGTTTTATATTTCCTCCCGTATTTCTCACTCCAGTACGTTGTTTTAACAGTGTGTAGGTTTGGTACTTGGTCTTCCAGTCTAGTTCAGTCTTAAGTCACTGTTCTCGCTACACTGGAATATTGCTACACACTGACACTCCTTTTTAAGGGTGCCCATATAAATTCAAGGAATTGTACGCCTTGCAACGTTGGTGAGAATGATATAATTTATACCTGGAAATTTCTGGAGAGATTGTTCCAAATCTGCATACTGAAAATTCTCCCTACGAGAGCAAAAAGCTCGGCAGACGAAACATCCTACCTCCAATGGACGATGGGAGCACTAAGAGAGAACTCAGTAAATGTAAAAGAATTAATACTTTTTGAACACCCTCCCTTCATATGTAAGGGAAATTACCAGACCCTTGGCTGTCTTCAAGAGAGAACCAGATGAGAGCCTCACGTCAGTTCCTAATCAACCAGGCTGTATACTTGGAGTATACCTGGAGAGGGTTTCGGAGATCAACTCCCCCGTGGCCCGGTCCGAGACCAGACCTCGTGGTGGATCAGGACCTGATCAACCAGGCTGTTACGTAAACCGACGTACGAACCACAGCCCGGCTGATCAGGTACATACGTTGAACTGCACCAGCAGTTTAGATGACCAGGCCATCAAACAGAAGGCTTGACTATCTGAGGCCGGGCTGGACCTGGCATCGAGGACAGTATTCAGACAACCTTCAGGAATATACCTGTGACAGATATCGAGGGTTGTTCGACTTGCACAGCCCGACCTGAGGCCAAGCTTCCCAGCTGAATGCTTGGTCAGCAAGACTTCACTACACCTTCAATACCAGGACACTACTACCACTACTATTACTACTACTCCCTCCTCCTCTCCCCCCCCCTCCACTCCTCCAAACACTACCCCACCACCACACACCACTCCCCACAAAACATCTAACCCCACCACCACACACTCACCTCACCACCAAACATCTAACCCACCACCACACACTCACCTCACCACCCACACCCCCACCACACCCCTCACCACCAAACATCTAACCCACCACCACACACTCACCTCACCACCAAACATCTACCCCACCACCACACTCTCACCTCACCACCAAACATCTAACCCACCACCACACACACTCACCTCACCACCAAACATCTACCCCACCACCACACACTCACCTCACCACCAAACATCTAACCCACCACCACACACTCACCTCACCACCAAACATCTAACCCCACCACCACACATCACCTCACCACCAAACATCTAACCCACCACCACACACTCACCTCACCACCAAACATCTAACCCACCACCACACACTCACCTCACCACCAAACATCTAACCCACCACCACACACTCACCTCACCACCAAACATCTAACCCACCACCACACCACTCACCTCACCACCAAACATCTACCCCACCACCACACACTCACCTCACCACCAAACATCTACCCCACCACCACACACTACCTCACCACCAAACATCTAACCCACCACCACACACTCACCTCACCACCAAACATCTACCCCACACACCACCCACACCCACCCCACCACCAAACATCCAGTCCCAACACCAAACATCTACCCCACCACCACACACCTCACCTCACCACCAAACATCTACCCCCACCACCACACACCCACCCCACCACCAAACATCCAGTCCAACACCAAACATCTACCCCACCACCACACACCCACCCCACCACCAAACATCCAGTCCAACACCAAACATCCAACCCACCACCAAACATCCAGTCCAACACCAAACATCCAACCCACCACCAAACATCCAGTCCAACACCAAACATCTACCCCACCACCAAACATCCAGTCCAACACCAAACATCCAACCCACCACCAAACATCCAGTCCAACACCAAACATCCAACCCACCACCACACACCCACCCCACCACCAAACATCCAGTCCAACACCAAACATCTACCCCACCACTACACACCCACCCCACCACCAAACATCCAGTCCAACACCAAACATCCAACCCACCACCACACACCCACCCCACCACCAAACATCCAGTCCAACACCAAACATCTACCCACCACCACACACCCACCCCACCATCAAACATCCAGTCCAACACCAAACATCCAACCCACCACCACACACCCACCCCACCACCACTACCCCGCACCCAGCTCACTACCACACATCAGCTGGGCTACACAGAGGTTAGTGTGCTGCTACTATCGCTGTTGCCGTTGCAGTAATTACATCTCAGCCCTGTAACACACCTCTTCCCTCCGCCAAAACCACCCAATTAGACATGGCTTGAACTATTCCATATCACTGAATTACTTGCAGCGGCTCTGGGAATGAGGAATATACATATATTCAAATGTATGCTGCACATGTATACATATACACATATACAGAGAACGCAAGTATATATATAATGAGAGTCATCATTACCCTTAATCTGTGATGACCCATACACAACAAGCAAGCAGTAAAAACACACACCCGAATCGACCCCAGCAACCACATATAGGCAAGTAAACACACACACACACACACAAAAGAGTGGTGGAGCATCTGGAAAGGGATAGATTTATAAGAAACAACCAGGACGATTTTAGAGATAGCAAATCGTCTTGTCAAAGAGGAGGTGTGGGGATGGGAGTGTGTAACAAGTGGGGTTTCACAAAGGCCAGTACTTTGACCGGTACTATTTCTTGAGTATGTGAACGACATGACAGAAGTAATCGAGTCAGAGGTGTCCCCGTCCGCAAATCACGTAAAAGTAATGAGAATGCAGACAGCAGCAGTCCGGGAAAAGACTAACTGGATCTACACCAGTTGCCGGACTGGTCTGACAAAGAAGACCGAAAACAGAGTAGAGACTCGGGGTACAAAGATTGCACAACTCTGAAAATGAAGGACCAGGGGTGACATGATTACAACGTACAAAATACTGAGAGGAATACGTAGAATACGAGGAATACGTACGGTGGACGAGTCTGTAAGGAAAGTCTCAGGAACATGAGGGCACAGCTGGAAGCTAAAAACGGACAATCACAGCGATTTACCTGGAATCTACCTGGAGGGTGTTCCAAGGGTCAACGCCCCTGCGGCCACCAGCAGTAACAGCCTGGTTAACCAGGCTTGCACCAGACGAACCTGGCCCATGGACGGGCTCCGGGAATAGAAAGACCCTTGGAACTCATCAAAAGTATATATATCAAAGGCCTCCCGGGGGATCAGGGCCTGATAAACCAGGCTGTTAATGATGGCCACACGTAGCCCAACGTATGAACCACAGCCAGGCTGGTCACGTTCTGACCCCTCACGTACTAAGGGGTCAGAAGTAAAACAACCTAGACAGCGAAGTGGTAGAGGTAGGATCCATACATAGCTTTAAGAATAGATATGACAGGACTCACACAAGGAGAAGAGTGAACCCAGTAGAGGCCAGTTAAGAGACAGGGCCAGTAGTAGAAACTCGACCCCAGCAAACACAGTATGTGTGTACGTACGTACGTGCCGTACGTATGTACACACACACACACACACACACACACACACACACACACAGGAACCTGGTGGATGCTTGCTGGAGAGTACGCTTCTTCCAGTGCTCTGTATACCATGGAATCAGGCGAAGAGGGAAGGGGGAGAGAAATGGAGGCGAGGGGAGAGGAGGAGAACAAAATGAAGACAGGGAAGCACATAAGGTTCATCTTACCTTGCCACATTGCTTGCACTTGCCCTTCTGGCTGCGCCTGTGTACCCAGTGGTGGTGAGTAGCCGTCTGCTCGCGGTACTGCCTGGGACCCACGTCCCTGAAGGTGGGTTTGCAGGGAAACTTCACCCTCTCGACCAGCGCTGCGATACATCCTGTATGAGCGATAATCTTGCACGCAGAACACTTCATCCGGGCCCCCGATTTCTGAAAGACACGAAGACAAGCATTGATTAGACTGAGGGAAACCTTAGTGTGCTGGTTTCAAGGCTGTATGATGACAGTGGTGGTGAGTAGTGATGAGTGTGGTGGTGATAGTGGTGCTAGTAATTAGTGAGGGGGTGAGGGGTGGAGGAGATAGTAGGGCTCGTGGTGGTGGTGATGAGGTTGCTCGTGGTGGTGGTGGACAGTAGTGGTGATGGTGGATAGTAGTGGTAAAGGTGGGGATGCTTGTGGTGGTGGCGGTTAGATTGGATCTGTGGGATTTACGAGGCGCTATGATGCTGGTCATTCACCTTTTAGTACAATGAACAGGCGCGCGCGCGCGAGCGTGCGTGTGTGTGTGTGTGTGTGTGTGTGTGTGTGTGTGTGTGTGTGTGTGTTTACCTGGAGAATTCGTAGATCAATGCCCCCGCGGCTCGGTCTGAGACCAGGCCTCACGGTGGATCAGGGTCTGATCAACCAGGCTGTTACTACTGGCCGCACGGAAGCTGACGTACGAACCACAGCCAGGTTGTTCAGGTACTGACTTTAAGTGCCTGTCCAGTGCCTTCTTAAAGACAGCCAGGGGTGTATTGGTAATCCCCCTTATGTAGGCTGGGAGGCAGTTGAACAGTTTTGGACCCCGGACACTTTTGTCTCAATGTACTCGTTGCGCCCCTGCTTTTCATTGGGGGATGTTGCATCTCCTGCCGAGTCTTTTGCTCTCAGAGTGATTTTCGTGTGCAGGTTTGGTACCTTCGAAGTGTATATTATCATGTACCTCTGTCGCCTGCGTTCCAGGGAATAAAGATCAAGGACATTCAACCGTTCCCCGTAATTTAGGTGCCTTATCGTGATTATATTGCCGTGAAAGCTCTTTGTACATTCTCCAGATCTGCAATGTCGCCTGCCTTGAAAGGGACCGTTAGTGCACAGCAGTATTCCAGCCTAGAGAGCACAAGAGATTTGAAGAGAATCATGGGCTTGGCGTCCCTAGTTTTGAAGGTTCTCATTATCCATCCTCTCATTTTCCTAGCAGATGAGGTAGATACATTGTTGTGGTCTTTGAAGGCGAGGTCCTCTGACAGTGTGTGTGTAAGATTCTCATATGTGAAACACTTGGCTAGATCTTCCAATATAAAATTTATGTTAAGTCATGTTTTGCAACGGTGGTGGGAGTCTACAAAAGACCTCGGCTGCATTTAACAAATTACCTTCATTTTCATCGTTCTTTTGTATTACTTCTCCGTTTACCCAATTTGCTAATTTCTTTTCCAAGTCTGGAATCCAAAAATTCAATTAGATTGAATCTTGCAAGTCGACGAGAGTAACTATGGCAGAAATCCTCTCAGACGTAGATCACGAATACTTTACATCTTAAATTATGGAATAAAGAAGATTTTAGTGTGTGTGTGTGTGTGTGTGTGTATATATAATATATATATATATATATATATATATATATACACACACACAAGGTTTATATACACCGAAAGTGTATGTGCGCGCGCGTGCGTGTGCGCGCGCGTGTGTGTGTGTGTGTGTGTGTGTGTGTGTGTGTGTGTGTGTGTGTGTGTGTGTGTGTGTGTGTGGTGTGTGTGTGTGTGTGTGTGTGTACGTACTCACCTAGTTGAGGTTACACGGGTCGAGCCACAACTTCTGACCCCGCCTCTTCACTGGCCGCATATATGTACTCACCTAATTGTGGTTGCAGAGGCCGAGTCACAGCTCCTGGCCCCGCCTCTCCACTGGCCGCTACTGGGTCACTCTTCCCGCTCTATGAGCGTTATCATACCTCTTCTTAAAGCTATGTATGGATCATGCCTCCACTACATCGCTTCCCAAATTATTCCACTTCCTGACTACTCTGTGACTGAAGAAATACTTCCTAACATCCCTGTGATTCATCTGAGCCTTCAACTTCCAACTGTGACCCATTGTTGCTGTGTCCCATCTCTGGAACATTCTGTTTCTGTCCACCTTGTCAATTCCTCTCGATATTTTATATGTCGTTATCATGTACCCCCTATCTCTCCTGTCCTCCAGTGTCGTCAGATCGAGTTCCCTTAGCCTCTCCTCATAGGACATACTCCTTAGCTCCGGGACTAGTCTTGTTGCAAACCTTTGCACTTTCTCTAGTTTCTTTACGTGCTTGGCTAGGTGTGGGTTTCAAACTGGTGCTGCATACTCCAATATGGGCCTAACGTATGCAGTGTACAGGGTCCTGAACGATTCCTTATTAAGATATCGGAATTCTGTTCTTAAGTTCGCTAGGCGCCCGTATGCTGCAGCAGTTATTTGGTTGATATGCGCCTCAGGAGATGTGGTGTTATACTCATAACAAGATCTTTTTCCTAGAGTGAGGTTTGTAGTCTCTGGCCCCTAGACTGTACTCCATCAGCTGTCTTCTTTGCCCTTCCGCAATCTTCATGACTTTGCACTTGGTGGAGTTGAACTCCAGGAGCCAGTTGCTGGACTAGGCCTGCAGCCTGTCCAGATCCCTTTGTAGTTCTGCCTGGTCCTCGTCCGATTGAATTCTCATCAACTGCACATTATCCACAAACAGGGATATTTCGGAGTCTACTCAGTCCGTCATGTTCACAAATACTAGAAACAGCACCGGTACCAGGACTGACCCCGGTGGAACTCCACTCGTCACAGGCACCCACTCTGACACTTCACCACGTACCATGACTCGCTGTTGTCTTCCTGATATGTATTCCATGATCTACTGTAGCACCTTCCCTGTTATCCCTGCTTGGTCTTCCAGCTTTTGCACTAATCTCTTGTGTAGAATTGTGTCACATGCCTTCTTACAGTCCAAGAAAATGCAATCTACCCACCCCTCTCTCTTGTCTTACTGCCGTCACCCTGTCAAAGAACTCCAGTAGGTTTGTGACACAGGATTTCCCGTCCCTGAAACCGTGCTGGCTGTCGTTGATAAGCTCATTCCTTTCTAGGTGTTCTACCACTCTTCTCCCGTGTGTGTGTGTGTGTGTGTGTGTGTGTGTGTGTGTGTGTGTGTGTGTGTGTGTGTGTGTGTGTGTGTGTGTGTGTGTGTGTGTGGTGTGTGTGTGGTGTGTGTGTGGTTGTGTGTTTTGTTTTGTGTGTGTATGTGTTGTGTGCGGTGTTGTGGTGTGTGGTGTGTGGGGTGTGTGTGTGTGTGTGTGTGTGTGGTGTGTGTGTGGTTTTTGTGTGTGGTGTGTGTGTGTGGTGTGTGTGTGTGGTGGTGGTGTGTGGTGTGTGGTGTGGTGTGTGTGTGGGTGTGTGTGGTGTGTGTGTGTGTGTGTGTGGGGTGTGTGTGGTGTGTGTGTGGTGTGTGGTGTGTGTGTGTGTGGTGTGTGTGTGTGGTGGTGTGTGTGGTGTGTGTGGTGTGTGTGTGTGTGTGTGTGTGTGGTGTGTGTGGTGTGTGTGTGTGGTGTGTGTGTGTGTGTGTGGTGGGGTGTGTGTGGTGTTGTGTGGTGTGTGTGTGTGTGTGTGTGTGTGGTGTGTGTGGTGTGTGTGTGTGTGTGTGTGTGGTGTGTGTGTGGTGTGTTTTGTGGTGTGTGTGGTGTGTGTGGTGTGGTGTGGTGTGTGGTGGTGTGTGTGGTGGGTGTGTGTGGTGTGTGTGGTGTGTGTGGTGTGTGTGGTGTGTGTGGTGGTGTGGTGTGTGGGGTGTGTGTGGTGATGTGTGTGTGTGGTGTGGTGTGGTGTGTGTGTGTGTGTGGTGGTGTGTGTGGTGTGTGTGGTGTGTGTGTGTGTGTGGTGTGGTGTGTGTGTGTGTGGTGTGTGTGTGGTGTGTGTGGTGTGTGTGGTGTGGTGTGTGTGTGGTGTGTGTGTGGTGTTGGTTTTGTGTGTGGGGTGTGGTGTGTGTGTGTGTGGTGTGTGTGGTGGTGTGGTGTGTGTGGTGTGTGTGTGTGGTGTGTGTGTGGTGTGTGTGTGGTGTGTGTGGTGTGTGGTGGTGTGTGTGTGGTGTGTGTGGTGTGTGTGTGTGTGTGTGTGTGTGGTGTGTGTGGTGTGTGTGTGTGGTGGTGTGTGTGGTGTGTGGTGTGTGGTGTGTGTGTGTGGTGTGTGGGGTGGTGGTGTGTGTGTGTGGTGTGTGTGGTGTGTGTGGTGTGTGTGGTGTGTGTGGTGTGTGTGGTGTGTGTGGTGTGTGTGGTGTGTGTGGTGTGTGTGGTGTATGTGGGTGTATGTGTGTGTGTGTGGTGTGTGTGTGGGTGTGTGTGTGGTTGTGTGTGGTGTGTGGTGTGTGTGGTGTGTGTGTGTGGTGTGTGTGGTGTGTGTGTTGTGTGTGGTTGTGTGTGTGTGTGTGGTGTGGTGGTGTGTGGTTGTGTGTGTGGTGTGTGTGTGGTGTGTGTGGTTGTGTGTGTGTGGTGTGTGTGGTGTGTGTGGTGTGTGGTGTGTGTGGTGTGTGGGTGTGTGTGTGTGTGGTGTGTGTGGTTTTGGTGTGTGGTGTGTGTGGTGTGTGTGGTGTGTGTGTGGTGTGTGTGGTGTGTGTGGTGGTGTGTGTGTGTGTGGGGTGTGTGGTGTGTGTGTGGTGTGTGTGGTGTGTGTGTGGTGTGTGTGTGGTGTGTGTGTGGTGTGTGTGGTGTGTGTGTGGGTGTGTGTGTGGTGTGTGGTGTGGTGTGTGTGTGGTGTGTGTGTGTGTGTGTGTGTGTGTGTGTGTGTGTGTGTGTGTGTGTGTGTGTGTGTGTGTGTGTGTGTGTGTGTGTGTGTGTGTGTGGTGTGTGTGGTGTGTGTGTGTGTGTGTGTGTGTGTGTGTGTGTGGTGTGTGTCAGCCAAAAAGAAAGCTTCAGATTATTTCCCAGCTCTTTCTAAATCACTATCAAGTCACTAACGTTAAAACAGAGTAACGAAGCTGACAACGTCATAACGTAAGAACGGGATCGTAAAAGCCAGTCAAAAAAAAAAAATCCAATTTCATTAGTGCCGTTCACTCTGCCAGGATAAATGTTACTAAGCTCATGTCCCCAGTTAATTTAATCGACTGGTGAGGTGGATAATGGAACGGTCACCACCAATCCTTC